GGCATGTTTCCCAATCATTAAATCGTTTTATAAGTGAAAAAATGAGAAAGGTTTCTCATTCAAATTTGAAAATTAAATTTTTTGAAAATTAAGAAATATTTCTTACCTAGTAAAATATTTCCAAAAGATGACAAGTCATTCAGGTCGTCAGTAAGTCTTTCGAGCATGATGCTTAAAGCATTCGGGTCATCTGTAAGCCTTTCGAGCAAGATGATAAGTCCTTCGGGCCATCCATAAGACCTTCGGGCAGGATGTTTTCACATGTCTATTAAAAATAAGAGGTTTCTCATTCAAATTTGAAAATTGAAATTTTTGAAAAGTAAGAAAGGTTTCTTACCTAGTAAAATATTTCCAAAATTAAATCCTTCGGGTCATCAGTAAATCTTTCGAGCATGATGATTAAATCCTTCGGGTCATCTATAAGTATTTCGAGCAAGATAATAAGCCCTTCGGGCATATATATGAGAAATGTTTATCATTTAAATCTGAAATTGAAATTTTTGAAAAGTATGAAAGGTTTCTTACCCAGTAAACTATTTCCAAAATTTATAAGTTATTCGGGAAATCAGTAAGTCTTTCGAGCATGATACTTAAATCCTTCGAGTCATCAATAAGCCTTTCGAGCAAGATGATAAGTCCTTCAGGCCATCCATAAGTCCTTCGGGCAGGATGTATTTCAAATGTTTATTAAAATATGAGAAAGGATTCTCATTTAAATCTGAGATTTAAAATTTTTGAAAAGTAAGAAAAGTTTCTTGTCTAGTAAACTATTTCCAAAATTTATAAGTCCTTCGGGCCATCAGTAAGTCTTCCGAGCATGATGATTAAGTCTTCCGGACCATCTTAAGCCTTCATCAAAGAGTAGTGAAGCAAATTAATATTAAGCCTTCACCGAAGAGTAGTGAAGCAAATCAATCTTAAGCCTTCATCGAAGAGTAGTGAATCAAATCCATCAGTAAGCCTTTTGAGCATGACGATTAAGTCGTCCGAGCCATCTTAAGCCTTCACTGAAAAGTAGTGAAGCAAATCCATCAGTAAGTCTTCTGAGCATGACGATTAAGTCCTCCGGGCCATCTTAAGCCTTCACTGAAGAGTAGTGAAACAAATCAATCTTAAGCCTTTACCGAAGAGTAGTGAATCAAATCAATTTTAAGCCTTCACCGAAGAGTAGTGAAGCAAATCAATCTTAAGCCTTCATCAAAAAGTACTGAAGCAAATCAATCTTAAACCTCCACCGAAGAGTGGTGAAGCAAATCGATATCGAGTCTGACTTCCCCAACAGAAAGGGTGGAGCGGATCCCATATCAAAATTTTAAAGCAAGGAGATGGAACTGGATGAAAACGCGTTGTCTTTTTTATCTTTACCCTATTCTTGTTAACACAAGAATGAATAAAGAGGGACAGCTGTAGACACCCATTTTTTCCGGGATATAATAATACTTATTATTATTATATTATTAATATTGTTTATTTTTATTTGTTACAGACCCATACTCGTGCCAGTTCCAGCTCCTACATAAGGCCAGCACACCTGAGCCACCGAATGTCGTCAAGGCTTACGTCAAACAACACCTGCAAATAACACCAATTCATCAGACAAAATCCACCGAAAGTTCAAGAAAAATACCTAATCCATTACCTACCCTCACTATTCCTACCTAATGAAGCAACTAATGAAAAAAAAAGAAAAAGACAAAAGGGCATTCAATAATAAAATTCATAGGCTTATATATGTAACCGGGGGAAGGATCGACAGAGGGGAGAAATACATCGAAAAATTCTATGTAATCAGGGTATTTCTAAAACCCAGCAAAATAGATCTGGTCTCGATATTTTTAGATAATCGAATATTCTTTATCTTTCTAAAGGCTAGATAATTTTAACTTAATCAATCTGGGTGTTTTTGAATATGGTGAAATTCGTATGTTGTTATTTTGTTGGGGATCATAAATCAAATTAAATTTGAATTTGTAAATTTCATTGCAAAGACATTAATTAATCGACTAGGTACCGATTTAGGGCGCTGTTGGGGTGCTAATCATTCCCTACGCGTAACCGACTCCCGAACTCATTTTCTGGTAAAGCGGACCTCCAGTTGTTGTTTTAATTAAAGTTAATCTTTATTTAAAATGACAAAACGTTTTTGGGTGCCCAATCACACCCTAATCAAAGATTGGTGGCGACTCCTCGAACCGTATGTTTTTTTTATACTAATGGAATTTCCAAATTTTTGAAACAAGAGGTTTTTAAAATCACATTCACTTTTATTTAAAATATGTTCTGAAGAAAATAATTAAAATTGGTGTAGTTTTTAAAATCTCATCCGTGAAAAAAATCATTTCGACAAAATTAATTGTCCCTTTAATATTATAAATTAATAGTTTTATAACATTACAAATATAACTAGGACAACTTAGTAAAATATGATTCTATTGTTTGTTTCTTCTTAAAATTTAAATCTAGTTATATTTTATCTCTAACTTTCCTTAATGCATCCAAAAGTTTCGGTCTTGCGTTCTCATACTACAACAAAAAATTATGAAGAGTTGTTGCCGCTATGAGAGCTTCTTTCCACATAATTGGTTGAAAATACATTGTATCATCTTCAATTTTGGTTTCAAAGACACTTGATGAATTCATGTCATGAAGAATAAGGGTAAATTACACCGTTCCTCACTGAATTATACTCCCTCTCTTATTTTCCTCACCCAATTTTCAATTTTTTCTAATTTGCTCGTTGAACTTTACAAATTGAATCACTTCGCTCACTCTGCCATTAACTATTTAACGGTGTTATGACATGACACTAGAAATGCTACCGGCAACCACACCATTTTCACTTCATCCACCGTCCAACATCGTTGATGGTGGTTGTTCGATCCAAATTTCATGGGTCGGTTCATCTCGACCCCCTGAGTCTGAATCTGGTGGTTATTTCATCAAAAAAATATCCCAAAACCCTATGAATCTGGATTGAAACGTCTCTGTTTCCTCACTTTCAATCTCAAAATCGTGGACTTTGGAGCAAGTTCCGACAAAATGGAGGTCGAATTCGGACTCACAGTGTCGAGGTGAAGCGACCCATGAAATTTGAGACTGAACGACCACCATTTGTGGTGGTCGACGGTGGCCGACAGTGGCATCCCTAGTCCTTTTGTTAATGTCGTTAGAGAGATAACAAAGGGAGTGAGCAAAATGATTCAATTTGTAAAGTTCAGTGAGCAAATTAGAAAAAGTGAAAGTTGGGTGAGGAAAACAGGAGAGAGAGTATAGTTTAGTGATGAACGATGTAATTTACCCTGAAGAATAATATAGGTTCGTTGAATCAAAAAAAATATCTTTAAATTAATAAATTAATATTTTATCAATTAATTAATAACTTTTTAAATTAATAAAATTATGTAACTATGATATTATTTAATTCATAGAGGTTTTAATGTATTTAGTTAGGGGCGAGCGAAAAGTCAGGAATGGTGTATGATTATATATACTAAGACTTGTTGGGATTTCTTAATTGTATGATTATAGAAAGTGGGTTGTAAATGAGACAAGATATATCACAAGATACTTGAGTTTGATTCAATTAAAGTTTGATCAATACTTGAATTGAATGAACTCAACTTGAGATTGAACTCAATTCGAGTTATTATGATTTGAAATGAACTACTTGATACCCGACTCAAAAAGATAGCGAACAATTCGAGAAAATAATATATAATTGTTAAAAATATTAGGGTAAATTACACCATTCCTCACTGAACTTTACTCTCTCTCATATTTCACTCATTGTACTTTCAATTTTTTCAATTTACTCACTGAACTTTTGAATTACTCTTATTTTGGTCACTATAAATATAAAAATAATTAATAATAATTACTAATAACATAATATTTATTATTATTAAATTTAGAAATATTTAAAATAATCATTGCCCTTTTTCGTCTTTGCCGACCATCGTCGACCTTCGAAAGTGGCAATCGTTTGATCCCAAATTGTATTGAGAGACTTGTTTTGACATGTTGAGTCTGGATTTGGTGGTTGTTTCACTAGAAAATGTCCCAAAACCCAAGAATCTCTATTGAATCATTTCAATTTCCTCACTTTTGATCTCTCATTCACAGACTTCGGAGCATGTTCCAAAAAAATAGAGGTTGGACTCAGACTCAGAGGGTTGAGGTGAAGCGACCGATGAAATCTAGGACCGAACGACCACCATCTACGACTGTGGATGTTTTGATTTCCTCACTTTTGATCGGATTCAGAGCATGTTCCGATAAAATAGAGGTCAGATTCAGACTCAGGGGGTCGAGACGAAGCGAAACCTATGAAATATGATATTGAACGATAATCATCTACAACCGTCGATGGTGGAGTCCAACGACGACGAACAGTGGACGACTATCATATGCATTTAATTTTATATTTTAAATTATTTTTATATTAAATAAAAAAAATATCACATCATACCAAAATAATAATAAAATAATTTGTAATGACCAAAAGATGAGCAATTCTAAAGTTCAGTGAGTAAATTGAAAAAAGTGAAAGTACACCGAGTGAAATAAGAGAGCAAAATTCAGTAACGAATGGTGTAATTTACGAATAATATTAACATTTATATATTGTTGTTTTTTTTTAACAAAAATGCAATATAAGATTTTCATGTACTTAAGGTTCAAGATAGAGCTGGAATCGAGTTTGAGCTTGAGTTTCAGTCGATTTAAGTATGAGAATGTTTCAAGTTTAAGTTTTTTAAAGCTCGAGTCGTGCTTTAATTTTTGATTTCGAGTTCGAGTCAAGCTTTACAATTTTAAGCTCACATCTTTTTGAGTCGAATCAAATTTAATTTTAAACTTTTTAAGTCGAGTCAGGTTAATCAATACTCAAGTCCTACTAGATTCGTTTACAACCCTAATTGAAAATATGTGAATTAGTAAATTTTCATTTATGATAGAAGACAATCTAGTACAAATCAGAACAGTACTTGCACATCAAGAAATGTGCTCAGATAGCATTCGCAATGATATGGTATGCCTTTATTCTATTTATTGATAATACCCTATTTTTATTCGTAGACAGCTTAAAACTATCCCAAATACTGTTTACGATGGGCAGAATATAACCTTGTAGTTAGTCCCTGTGGGGCAAGTAAACAGGCTCGTTGGGTCATCCTTTGGGTAGCTGTAAGCATCTGGGCACCTGTCCTTGAAAAACCTTGACAATGGTGTAGGTCCACAGTTCCCAGAATTGCAGCAGTGTTCTTCAGTCTTCAACTGCGGGCAAGGCCCGTTGCAACCTCCGAGAACCTTCAGCTCATTCGGGCACTGCCCGACAATGTCCGCCGAGCACTTGATGACCCTAGAGCATCCCGGAGAGTTCGAGCTAAACTCCATCGGAACGTTAAAGCCATCGATGTTGGAGATATCAATGAAGTCCTGGTTAGCATATTGGCCCAAGGCATATTCAGCAAGCGTGTTGGGGGCTTGGCCGTAGCCGTTGCATTCGAGGACGCCGCCGCAGTCGCCGGTTTCGCACTTGCCTTTCCCGGAAGCATCGAATTGGCAATTGGTTCGAGCCCAAATGCGGGCTTGTGTGGTTCCAGGGTCTGCACTGATTTGCCATGTTTCACCACTGTTCAGTTTTCTGCCACCACCCGGCTTGGCAGCAGCCCAGACGGTGTAAGTGCATCTGTTTGTGATGTCGAATGTGGCTGCATGGGCTAAGCCGAAGAGGGTCAAGAAGAGGAAAGAGATGGTCGGGAAGGTTCTCATTATGATGAAGCAAGAATTGGGTTGGCAATATATCTTGTTTTAATGGATTTAGAGGTGCTTTGGAGTGGAAAGGGTGGAAGTTTATATAGAGGGGTGGAGACATGAGGATGTAATTGCGTAATAAAATTTTGTTATAAATTGTGGGGATGATGATGTAAGGATTTGGCTTGACCCAAGTTAATCTGTATGATGACTTTGAAAAGTATTCATCTTAGGGGATCATTAAAAAAAAGGGTAAATGGTACAAATGGTTCTCCGACTATAGGGTGATGTTTTCTTGAGTCCCTCAACTATTAAAAATTACAAATGGTCTTTTGACTATAGGGTGTTGCTTTTTTGAGTCCCCCAATTATTAAAGGTTATAAAATGGTCACCCGACTATTTAGTATATTCCAAAATCGTCCTTTTTTTGTTAAAAAATAAAGTGCACTCTGAGCTGAATGTTAATCTGATTACTGAGATATGATAAAATTTAATCTCATAATCTAAAAAAAAAACTATCATATATGAGTCAACCGGATAACATTCAGTTGTGGAGTATATATATTATCAATAGTTAAGAAAAATAATAAACATATACTACCTTGTAATCATTTCACACTATTAAAAAACATCACTAAAATTAAATTTTGAGGGTGTTCGGATAAAATATTTTGAGGATAAGATTCCCTTCTATTAAAATATTTAACTTTTTTACATAAATTTATTATTATTATTATTTTATTAAAAATAAATCAATTATTATATTTTTAATGATAAATGAATTGATAAGAAATAAAAATAGATTAATAAAATATAAAGAAAATATGTAAATATAACTATTGTCAATAATGATTTTTTGTTATTTTTAACTAAAAACTAAAGGAGAAAATAAAAAAAAAATAATTTAAAAATTAATTAATTAAATTTTCATTACTTTGAAATTGAAAAGAAAGTAAAGACTAAAAAAATGGAAAATAATATAACTAAATAGAAGAATAAATAATTGGTAAAATATATATTTAGTTAAAACTCATTAAGCAAATAAATGGGATTTTAAATTCAAAGATTAAATGTTTCGTGGATAGTAGGGTGGGATGGAGACAGAAACCCTTCTTAGATGGTAGGACAAACATGAATATAATCTTATATTTATTTCTTTTACTCGTTTTGTATTATTATTTGTATTTAAATCTTATGTAAAAATATTATTTCTGGTTTTTTTTAATCGTATTGAAGTTATATTTTAATTTACGGATTAAATGATTGTGACTATTTATTATCTTTTAAAATAATGACAATTGAAATAATCTCATATATATAGTGTGTGAGTTTAGAGGGAAAATATTTCAATAAAATAATTTAATTTGTATTTATTTAATTGGTACTTACAAAAATATTATATCGACTCGTGGGAATAAATATAAGAACGAAATATACATGATAGAGAAATAGTTAAGATTCAATATAATATATAAATGGAAAATGTATAATTTTAAATTTATCAAATATTAATATAAACAAAAAAATTATAAAATCATTATTATATAATCATCTAACAAATTAAAAGATAATTATTAATATTACATTTTAAGTAGTTTTTATTTAATTTACACCATCTAAACCTGTATTATAAAATTAAAAAAAATTAATCTATAGTAAATACAATGTAATATCTGTTCAAAATAATTTTCAACCGTTTGATATTAAACATTTATACGCTTGACATTCTTGGTGCTCGAACTCGTAATCTCAAGAAATAATAATATTCATTTACCACCGAGATTACTTGATTCATACTAAAAATCAAATTCTTAAATACTAGCTAAATGATTTTATATTGAATTATAATTGGTATATACATATATTTTACTCTATTTGTATGTTTGCCGTGTTGGAATCAAACCCAATGGGTGTGTCGGTTACTCTATTTGTATGTTTGCCGTGTTGGAATCAAACCCAATGGGTGTGTCGGCAAAGATGTTTTGGTAACAATAATATTTAAAAAATTGATGTGTTTGTAAACTAACCACAATTAATATATGGTGAGTAAATTTATTTGTGTTGTAATGATATTTTATGTATAATTAAAATTATGGCAAACTACACATTTAGCCATTCATTTATTTTTGAAGTTTAGTTTTGTCACTCAACTATTTTCTTTCAAAATTATACATAATGTTATATTTTGGTCACCGTCGTTAAAAAAACATGATTGTTGATAAGATAATTTTTTTAATATTTTTCAATGATAATGTGATATAACATTATGATGACATGTTAATTCACTGTTAGTTTCTTTCAAAATCATACCTAATGTTCTAAATATTCTCAATTATTTAACAATAAAAGCTTAAACACTTTGCAGTCTCTGGTGCTCGAACCTGGACATCTAGGATAACAACTATCTCCTTATGTGATAAGATAATTTTTTTAATATTTTTCAATGATAATGTGATATAACATTATGATGACATGTTAATTCACTGTTAGTTTCTTTCAAAATCATACCTAATGTTCTAAATATTCTCAATTATTTAACAATAAAAGCTTAAACACCTTTGCAGTCTCTGGTGCTCGAACCTGGACATCTAGGATAACAACTATCTCCTTAACAACATAGGTGGTTTGGTTCGAACAAAGTAAATTAAATAGTAAATTTGTGTTTGTTTCGAATATTTCGTACAATCACTTTAAAAATATTGAAGAATTTTTTATTCAAATTATAATTTATAATTCATTTTTTATTTTAAACAGTGATATTTAATAAAAGAAAATTTGAAAATTCTAGATTGTGTTGAGTTCCAAGTTTAAAGTCGTAGAATAATCTTGCTACACAATATAATGCGATGTGGAAATTAGAGAAAGGGTCGTTTGTATGTCCTAGAATTAATGAACAGATGGATGAAAAGTCTTTTCTGAATGACAAAATAAATCATCCTTTTTCTAGTTATTTTCAAGGATAAATTATATGTTTAATACCTCAACTATTACTTTTGTTCTATTTTGGTCACCTATCTATTTTTCTTTCAAAAATATATTTAACATTATATTTTGTTTTATTTTGATCGCTCATTGTTAAAAAATTAATAGAACTACTAATGTGATATTTATAACTTTTTAATGATGACACGTCATTACTTATGGTGACATGTCAGCGTCAATGTTAATGTTTTAATGGCGAGTGACCGAAATGGAACTAAAACTAAACATTAAGTATAATTTTAAAAAAAAAACTTAAGGGCTAGTTTTGCCCTGTAATAGACCCAATTTATCATTTTCACTCCTATGATATTTTTACATCAATTTAACCCTCGAAGTTGTTTAGAGGCATCATCCTAGCCCTCGAAGTCCATTTTGACTAACATAATCATTAGTCTTATGCGCCTGTGGACACCAACAATTTCCACTTCAACCAATATTATTGATGTGGCTTGATGATAACATGACATTTATTAAAGAAGATAAATAATAAAAATATTTAAAATATTAACTAAACACAACAATTAGAAAAAATCCCCAAAATTGTAACCTAATCTCTTAATCTTGTTGAAATAAATAATAAAATTTTGAGAAATTTTTTTAACCATTATGTTTAGTAAATATTTTAACATAATCCCTTAACCCACGGACACAGAAGACTAACGGTTTTGTTAGTCAAAAAGGCTAACGGACTTCAATGGTTAGGATGATGCCCCTAAACAACTTTGAATGCTAAATTGATACGAAAATATCATAGAGAAAAAAATGATAAATTAGGTGTACTAAAGGGACAAAAGTAACCCTTAAGCCTTAAAAAATAATAAAGGATCAAAATAGTATAAAAAGTAATAGTTAGAGTATTAAATATGGAGTTTACCCTTTGTTTTATTAAAGAAAACAGAGGTGAAACACGACATCTTGTTAGGCATTCTGATAGAGTTATTACAATTTTTAGACCTTGAAAAGTAGTTTTCTGCATTTGTATTTTATGAGTCGGTCCTTTCTATCTCTATCCCGTTAATTGCGGTCTCAATAAGTATTTTAGTCAGCACTGCAATGTAATTTCACCACCCAACTTCCGGAATTCAACCACATGTCATTATGGTTGCTTTCTATAGATGCCAAACTCAATGCCACTTATTTATTTTTCTTCATTTTGTGTTTTAAATTCGGTCAATATAACTGGATAAAACAATAGGGTAAGGTAAAGCACACAAATGGTCTCCCGATCATAGGGCACTGTTTTGTTGATTTTTTGTCTATTAAAAGTTACAAAATGATCATTCAAATATATGATGTTGCTTTAGTGAGTCCCTCAACTATTAAAAGTTATGAAATGGTCACTCGTTTCAAACTCGTCCTTTTTTCAGTAGAAAATTGAGAGTCGTTTGAGTTTGATGTTAACATGTTGTCTGAGATATGATAGTCGTTTGTCAGATTTTAGCATATCTAAATCAGCAGATTAACGTCCAGATGGGACTGCCATCAATTCTTTAAAGGAAAAGGACGAGTTTGGAACATATGAATAGTCGGGTGACAATTTTGTAAATTTTGATAGTTGAGGACTCAATAAAGCAACGTCCTATGGAGGACCATTTTGTAACTTTTAATAGTTTGGGAACTCAACAAAATAACACCCTACAGTCGGGAGCATTTGTGTATTTTACCCATTTAATTTAATAAAAATTAATATTATGTAATTAAATTATTTCGAATCTATATGAATCTCATTAATACGTCTGTAATAAATTAAGTTTTTTTAATCGATGTAAATTTGTTATTTGTGGAAAATTGGTTGAGATGATAGCATCTTCTTCGGCCTCAGAAATAATGGAAATGGATGATAACATCTCACGTTATAGTATTAAAATCTGATTTTAAGTTAATTTTAACTTTAAAATATTTTAATTCATTTCAAACTTGATTCAAAAATTTAATTGAAAATTAATCCGATACGATTTAATATACTTTTTAAAAAAGAATTCGCATAATTAATTTGCCAAAATAAATAATAATAATAAAATATTAATTTATTCAATTTAATAACATAAAAGTAAAGTAGTTTTTAATTTAATAATATAATTCCAATAACTTGTATGTTAATTTTTTACATATATTTTTATCAAAACCTAACTAATAATATATAAATACATAAATAGACTATTTTGTAATTATTTCAAGGTGACAAGGAGGGACATTCTCAATAAAATCGAACATGATTTGGCTGAGCAAGAGAAAAAAATTGATTCAACTTGAAACTTGAATTTTATTAAAAAAAAACTTGATCAATCTGTAGATGCTCGATTTTGTCCGGGGCTAGGCTTTAAGAAGAACCTAAACCAGCTGGATGCCCAATCCAATGATCTAGTAGAGCAAGCCACATGATGTTTCCCTTTAAAATAGAAATGGTTATGGGAAGTTAAGAAAACTGTAAAGGGATAAGGAGGGTCGGTTTTAAAAATAACCACTGGAAACTAAGGGGATATATCAGCAACCCATGACCATTATCAACGGTGGGGGGTGATAGGAAGAAAATATCAAGCATCAGAGAAAAAAAACGAAGAGGAATCATCACAGATTATCAATCATCACAAAAAATTACACAAAGGGGGGCAGTTTTTTTTAAAAAAAATTGGTTTTTAGAAAACCACTGTAAACGAAAAGAAAAGGGGGCCTGTTGGTTCTTTTTACAGGGAAGAAAAAACATTGTACAGGGGGGATTTTTCAAAGGAAACAGTGGAACTCCATTTTTCATTGAATCAAAGCAACGCATAGTATCAAAAGGGTATTTATTTTCAATTTCAGTTCTCAATTGCTTTAAATATTTTCTTGTATGTTCATATGCTTTGATCCAAAACCAATTCAAAATCATAAGGAGTTAGTTTAAACGCTTACCTTAGTTGTCTCGTTGTACCTCTTGGTCGTTCAAGTCTACACTGTCAAAATAAAAGGGTGTGTAGTTGAAATAAGTTCATTGTAAAATAAGAAGAAGAGGGTCTTGATAGTTCACCTTACAATATGTCGGGGTTTGGAGTCGAACTTATTGGCTTTAGAAGTTGGGGGTCGATTTGGTGAGTCTTAGTCTCGTATTTGTGGTCTAGAGAGAAAACTAAGGAATTTGAGTTGGTTTAGGACTTTATCGGTGAAGGAATGGCGGTCGTCGGGTGTGTAAATTATCTGGCCGAGAGGGGACGAGATGGAAAGTGGAAAGAGAAGAACGGAGAGGAAGATGGGAGCTAAGTACTGTGCACATGTTCCACGCGTGAGGCTTAATTTATTTATGTTTAATTTAGTTTAGGTTTAATTTGTTTAGGAATTATATTAAATAGTTTGGGTTCTGCGTGAGTTAGTGTAGCTGGTAGGTTAGTTTTCATTTTAAGTTTCATGTTAATTTTTTTGGTAAATTAGTATTTAGTCCTCATAGGTTTAGCTTTTATTTATACTTTAGTCACCTTTAGTTCTGCTTTCAATTCTGTCATTTGTAATTGTCCTGATTCGTTGTTTTCCAACTTTTGTTTTAGTTGTATTTTTAGGTTATTTATGTTAGATCCTCTATTTTATGTGTGTTTTTTTTAGTCCCTGGTTTATTTTTATTTGTATGTTGAATTTTACATTTATTTAATTTAGTCATTTTAATATGTATATATATTTTAAATTTAGTTTAGCATGTCATGTCTTTATTTTATTGAATCACATTTGGTACATTATAGGTTAATATACAAGATTTATAATTTTAATTTAGAAACATATGTGCATAATTTTTTGCATGTCACGTTGTATGATATTTTTAATTTTGTTTAGTTAATTTTGGCACGACATCCTTTTTTGCACAATTTGCATGGTAACCTCATTTGCATAACTCGACCTATTACATAATCGGACTAAGGGTAATATCCTTTTAATTTAAAATTGTCTTGAGTGGCCTGTCTTAACTAATTAGATGGCCGTTGTGACCATTTTAAGTTAAAAGTGTATCCCGAAAGTGAAACCAAAAAAATTGATTAGTCACCTAAAATTTGGGAACAAAAGAAAAGGAAATGTTCGTTTATTTAAATTTATCGAGAAAAGGTTGTTATAGTTTTTAAGATATGGTCTCGATATTTGTAAATAATCGAACATTATTATCTTTCAAAACTTGGTAATTTTAATTTAATTTATTTGAGTGCTTTTGAATGTTTTTTTTAAATTTTACATCTTTGTTTTATGGGATCAAAGTCACATTAAATTCGAATTTAAAGTTCATTGCAAAGACGTTAATTAATTAGGTACCGATTTTAGGGCGTTGTGGGGGTGTTAATCATTTCCTACACGTAACCGACTCTCGAACTCAGATTTTGGTAACGCAGACCTCAATTTATTGTTTTAATTAAAATTAATTTTTATTTAAAATGACAAAGCATTTTGTGTGCTCAATCACACCCTAATCAAGATTGGTGGCGACTCTTCAAACCTTATTTTTCGAGCGTAAGGAAATCAAAATTTTCGAAATGAGAGGTCTTTTAAATCGTATTTACTTTTTAAATTAAAAAGAGATAATTTAGAATTAATGTGGTTTTCACTTTCTCACCTTTTGAGAAAAAAATCATTTCGACACAATCTGACTAGATTAAGTCGAAACTCATCGAGTATAATATCTTTTATAACATGGTAAACCCAACCTAAAATATTTGATGGGTCCGTAAGTGTTACATACGAATCGTTAGAGTGACCCATAAGTCAAAACTTCAATTTCTTTATTCAGTTAAACAAGTTAGTAAACCAAAATAAATTTTAAAAACATAAATATTGTAACCTCTAGACCCGAACTAGAAATTACAATCGAATCATAAAGATCACATTGGTCTGAAGTGACCCTATAAAAACACATATTCAAAAAATCATTTTTGAAACTCTTATCAGATAAAGTAACATATATAAACTTATAGCAAAGTTAAAAGAAGGTTGAAAATCATTATTTAATATAAAATTGAGACCAAACGTCTTATTTGTCAAACTAGCCATATATTTGGATAATCTAAAAGGGAAAAACAAAAAGGTGTGAGCTATAGAGTTTAGTATGTCCTCTAAGTGTAATCAAGTATCAACATAAAACATAAATGTTTCAATCAACATGACATAACATACACATAATAGTCAAGTAAACTAATAAATCTAACTAATCATCATAGACACCATAACAAGAGGTTCTCATAACCTTGTGTCTCCTTACAACCATACAAGATGAGGACGTTACTCTCCGAAGAGGAATCCTAAACCTCCAAAGAAGAACTCAAAATAGAAAATATGATGAGGACTAACCCTCTAAGTGTAATCAAGTATCAACATAAAACATAAATGTTTCAATCAACATGACATAACATACACATAATAGTCAAGTAAACTAATAAATCTAACTAATCATCATCTGGACACCATAACAAGAGGTTCTCATACCTTGTGTCTCCTTACAACCATACAAGATGAGGACGTTACTCTCCGAAGAGGAATCCTAAACCTCCAAAGAGAACTCAAAATAGAAAATGATGAGGACTAACCCTCTGAAAATGATACCGAGTTAAACTCTAAAATGTAACTTAAAACAAAAAAATAAGATTTGGACCTTACCCTCCGAAAAGGAACCCGAATTAACATCTAAATAGGAACTCAAAACATGAATCTTCCATCATCATCTCAAACCGTTCCAAAGTACATAAATAAGACTTGATTCATACATAAGCATAACGTAATTTAGGAATTAAGTATTCAAACATATAAAACTAGAAAATATATCATGCTTTTAACCAGAAACATATAATAAATATTACATACATATGTTGTCACGCACTCAAGGTGATCCATGAAAAGTAAATCTACATGATTACATTAAAACATAAGTGTAGCATTAGTATAGGAACACAACTAGTAGCTAAACAATGCACTTTTCATGTTCGATAGTACTATGTCCTACATTGTGGGAACTAAGCACCAAGATATATAAGGAACCACTAATTCAATTAAGAATACTCATACGCGACAACGTACAAAGTTGAATTAGGCTGAATGGAAGTGGTACTGATCTGTTGGGAGCGGAATAAAATACAATCTAAAGTAATGTGAGATGCAAAATAAAGCTTTTGAGTTAGAATTTGACTAAACAAACTACATAAATGAACCCAACATGTTAAAATGCAAAATCAATTGTCCACAGAGAAAGCCAATGATCAACGATCAAAGTCAATGAAAAAATCATCAAAGTCAATGGTCAATTAGTTTGAGTCAAGTCAACGAGTCAAACCAAGCCGAGTTAGTTTTTGATGAATTCATTGGTCCATCAAGAAACTTTAGGCCAAGTGTGGCTTGTTTGGGCTTGGATTGAGTAAGAAATGTGATAAAAAAGGGTAATTTTTATTTGGGGCCAAAGGATGAGGACCATGGAAGTGATTTACCCCTAAAGTATTTTAAAGTTTATCTCCCATTATTTGCTCATGTCACACATTAAGAATAGGGAATTCTTTTTGTCTTCTTCTTTATCTTTCTCTCATTTATTCTCTCACACTTTCCTCTTATGATTTCGCCAAATGGGCAAGCTTTATAGTCTTCTATCCCTTGTTCGAGATTGAGTTGGTAAGAATCATAATCTCCACCCCTAAAGCTTTAATTCAAACCTTCCATCTCAAGGTTCGCCATGATAGCCATGGTGGGGGGTTTAGAGGGTTTTGAGTTTTAAGACTTTAGGATGTTTCTACTTCTTTTAAGTTCCTAAATGAGTTAGTAATTCATTATTTTCTTGTGATTAGTGAAAGAAGTTGGAGAAAGCTACAAATGCAAGAACAAGGAGAAGCTTGTGATTAGGTGAGCTTGAGGTGTTTTCCAGCAGCTTAGGATCAAGTAACACACCTCTAACTCATCTATAATGCTTATAGATCACTATGAGTAGGTTGTTTACTTGCATGAGTGCATGGGGGCATAATGGATGCATTTATGTTCAGGGGAAATATGATGTTTTGATGTTACTATTACATGAAAATGTCATAATGATCCCTCCTATACTCTCATAAGTTTGAAATAATGTTTGAAGGCCTTATAAGGGTTTTGGGTATGAGTTGAAATGACTTATTCATGAAAAATAGAGTTTTTTTAGGTATGGGATATGTACTAGATGAATAGTATCGATAATGTTCGTCTGAAAGGCTAAGTCAAGAGGTTTTGGTCAAGTAGTATTGATGTAATATTTATAAAGTATCGATACTATTCACTGGGTATCGGTACCAAAGGCATGGTATCCATACCAAGGGGTTGATTTCAAATTCTAAAATGCAAAATTGGTATTGATACTTAGAGCTATATCAATACCACCGAAGGGAAGTATCGATACTCTAGTTAAGGGTATCGATACTGAGGTGAATTTCCCAAACATCAAATTTAAATTTGGTATGGATACTCAAAGGAGTATAAATAACTTTAGAGAGAAGTACCGATTGTAACACCCATTTCCCGTATACATTACAGAATACGAGTCCAAAATGCTACATAATATTTCCAAACCATTCCTTATTTAGAAATTAGTAAAATTTTGTTTCTTTTAAAAATCCTTTAACTAATATTAATGATCATAAAGTATTTCATCTTAGTATCAGCTAAAATCTCTTTTACTAGAATATAAATCAGCAAAACATTATTCATAAACAGTAAAAATAAGTATCATTCATTTAAAACCAGATTTAAACATATAGTTCTAAGTATCATAAAAAGATGCCAACTAGTACTATCAATATTAAAAATGATGTTATACTAATTCTGGAACAGATTTAATCTTCAAAAGTTGATGTTGGGCCTAGCTCCTTACTCCAAACGCTTTTCTTTTCCTATGCGTAAAAATCATCACACACTAAGTATACACTTAGTGAGGCATTAAGTTCTATTAATACTAGTAACATTAATAAAATAATAATAGTACCGAAACATAATTATATCAAAATATAGCGTATGTATAAATTATAAAACATCATATAAGAATTTATCTATGATTCAAAGATTCATTATAAAATATTTAACATCAAACCAGAGTTCTCAAAAAACTTTATTTTCAATTCAAATCGACCAGACTATTTCACTTCCACTTCATTTTCAAATAAGCCTTCACTTTATTCATATCATAGCCTAATGTAAACCAATGAGAATGCAAGGTA